GGTGGGTGGGGGGGGTGAGCGTTAGGGTCAAGGGCGACCGCGACCCTTCGGTGAAAAATATGATGATCGAGTTGTTCAGGCTTGGCGAGCTGTAGGCTGTACCGACGTGCCGCTGATGTCGAGTCTTGTAGGCCGATTATCTCAACGCTCGTTGCGAGAACGCGCGAGCATCAGGCGCAAACCAGTACCAACCAGACACCAGCAAATACCTCTGAAAATGAACAGGGGGAGACATCACGGAAATGACGTGCCACTCAAGGGAAAGCCAAACTCCTTTCTTCGAGACTCTCTCCCATCTTTACTGAACGAAACCACACCAAACAAAAAATACCTCAACCTCCTCCGCATCCTCACTGCTTATCCCACACACCTTGTCGGGCTCTTGCACGGCCGTCGACGCTCGGCCCGTACTCTTGCCCCCCCCGTCCCGCCTCGTCTTGGCCGGAATGGAAACCTGACCTTCCGTGGACTCCACCGCATCATCCCTTGCAGAGCCGTCACCCCCCCCTCCACCCGCAGCAGCGTCCTCCTCGCCGCCAGCCTTGCGACGCTTGCCGATCGTGGAGCGTTGTTTTTTCTTCTTCTGCTGCTGCTGCTGCTTCTCCGGCGCGTGCGGCGCCGATGATGAAGCGCTACCGCTGTCCTCCCGGCTATCGCTCTCCAACTCGCCTCCAAGAGGGCCGGCGGCGGCGGCACCCGCACCACGGCCACCGGCTGCCGCCGCCATAGACGGCGAACTCTCCTCCTTCCCTTTCCCCTTAGCGCTTGCCTTTCTCTTCGTCGAGGCCCCGCTTGCGGCTCCCGCGGTCGTGCTTGCCTCTAGGGCAGCGGCAGTGCTGAGGACGCCGGCTTCGTATCCGCCGCCGCCGCCTGAGCGCGGCTTCTTGCGACCTGGAGCGGCGGGCGCTGCCGGCTCCGCGTCATCCTCCTCATCGGATAAGTCAGCGGTAACCGACCGGTGAGACCGGGCGGCGGCGGTGTTCCGCTTCCCCGGCCGCGGTCTCGACGACCGCGCCGCTGTCACGTCCTCGTCCGAGCTGTCCAGGCTAAGATTAACGCTCGACTCCGCGTAGTTGACTTCCTTGCGCGACCTGCCACCGCGCGTGATGGTGCCGGAGGCGGCATGGACAGTACCCGACGGGGCCACGGCAGGAACGCTGTCGGTAGACGAAGGGCTCTTGCCGGTGGTGGCCAGCCTGTTGCCGTCGGGGGCGGCAACGGCAGGCTTGGCAGGTGCGGTTTTGCGGCGTTGGACCACCTTCGCAGGCAGACTCTCGTCCTGTCGGTGCTCTTCCTCTTCGACTGTACGCGCCCGTTTAGTCGCCTTCTTGCGCGGCTTCGGCGGTGGTGGCGCAACGTTCGCCTTGCCGTCGTCCAAGGTGGCTACACCCTTGCTCTTCTTGTCGGTGACAGCACCGCCAGTCGCCTCTGATCCCACCGCTTTCCTGCTCTTCTTCGCCGCAGGCTTCTTTTTGGGGGCCGGCGAAGCCGCCGCCGCCGCCGCCGCAGGCACCGCTTCTGCCACAGGCGAAAGGGAGGTTGCAGCGGCCAAAGGCGCGCTTTCTAGGGCCGGCGTTGCCGCCGTAATCGACACGCCTGTCGAAGTACCGGCCTGCTGCTGTTGCTGCTTTTGCTTCTGCTGCTGCTTCTGCCGTTGCTCCTGCTCCTGCTGCTGCCGCTGTTGCTCCTGCTCCTGCCGCTGTTGCTCCTGCTCCTGCCGCCGTTGCTCCTCCTGCTGCTGCTTCTGCTTCTGCTGCTGCTGCAAGGCAGCCGTCTCAGAAGCAGCGGTGGAGGCCGACGCGGCGGCGGCAGCGGCGGCGGCGGCAGCCGCCGCAGACTCTGCCACCGTCGCCGAGAGCTCCGTCCTCGCACGCTCGGCGTACTCGAGCCTCCTCTCCACCGACAACCGCCGGCTCTTCTCGGTCTCGGCCACCTGCCGGAGGGCGGAGCCTGCGGCAGACGCAGCGGCGACCGCGAGCTCGTCCCTCGAGCGCTCCGCCAGGCCCAGCCTCCGCTCCGTCGACTGCCGCCTGGCGCGCTCGATGCCGATGACATTCTCCCCGTCGTGCTTAACCTCGCTCAGACGTCTCTCTGCGGATACGCGACGAGCTTCCTCTGCGTCCACGANGGGGCGTACTCTTTGTGTTTTGCATGCCTTAGCGGTTAGACCATTGACCACGCGTCCTCGAGAGGACGGAGCATTGTTCCCACAGGACCGATCACCGATGGCCAATCGTTCCTTCCTACTTTGCCAAAGGTGGCTCAAAAATGTCTTTCCTATTCTATCTATCCTACCGATAAAACCTCCCGCCTTTTCAACCCACTTCCTATGCCCCAGTACAGCTAACGTATTCTCCTGGCTATTCCATGCCTCAAACATCTCCCTGTACTTTCTTCTACTGTTCCCAGCTCAGTCATGAACACTTCCCTCTCCTTTCTCGACGACATTAACACGGTCTTCGCACTCGGAGCCGCAATCACATTCAAACTTGGCGTCTTCATCGTGGGGGGGGG